ATAAAGTTGTCTGAAAACTTAACTCACACAAAAATAAATCGATACAATTCACGTTTACGAATGTAGCTACAACACCACACATTTTCTTATATCCTGGTCGATCGTGACGACAGATATTGAAATCTTGTGGTGATGCTGGACAATTTCCCTGTAAGTAATTCAACCAAGACTCTTGAATTACGGTCACCCCTCAGTGACGACACATATTTTCATTTAGTAGGAGTTGAAGATGGTCCACCTTGCCACTTATTGATAGGCAGTTCAGGAACCGAAATCTGAATAATGTTCATTCTTTTCAATGCGCACTGCCAGACACCACGATGTCTCTGATTGTTTTTTTTGTACCTTGTGAAGTGCTAGGTCATGATTGTTTCCTATAAGCACATGAACAGTATATGAGATCAAAAGACGAAATTTGTCAAAATAGAATAATAAAAAGAATAACTTATTGAAATATGTAGAAGGGACGAACAGTTAGCCCGGATATTCAATCAGGTCGCCAAGTAAGCTTCAGTATATACTTTGGTATGACCTAGATACTTGATATAATTAGACTGAAACCGACACTAGGATAGATTAACGGCCACATTTGCATCACAAAAGCGCCTAAATAACTTTGAAGGATGCTTGTTGTGCAAATCAATATTGTCAGCATGATTTATGACATAATACTGATGCAATTCAATACCATCAAACTGGTGATTATTTGATTTATAATCCTCCGTAATATCTCGGACTAAACATATAGTATGAACGGTAGGAATTTGCATCTGAACAGCCCGAATGGTGTTTTAATAGCGATTAGTTCGCTAGAGATTTCGTAGAGTGAATTCTGCAATTACGTACCTTTCAGGTCTGTTTTTGAAAAATACCATGACTCTCGTACTTTACATAAAATGTCCTCAATCTGTTCAGTGGCGCAGCTCTGCTGCGATAGCCGAGCATCTAGTGTCAAGTGGTTATCACCACATATTCTATGTGCTCTTTACATTCGCTTTCAATGAAGTCATAATGGGAGCAGCCCAACTAAACGACTCAATTGAGGGTCATTATCAGTTCTTAACTAGTTTATCTAACTCACTCTTCACAGCCTCTAATAAAACACATAAAATTACCCGATACTTCAAAAAGACGAACTCTCTCCTTAATTCCAAGTGTGCTGGTTACATTTTGAAACCTCTCACGGTCTTTTACTAATGCAAGATTGGATCTCTGCTTAAGGTACTATTAGGAGAACTGGTGCATAAAGAAATGCACACGTTTGGTATTCTGAAGCCTTTTAACCCAACAATGGATGGGTCGTACTCACTAACCAAAAAAAAACTCACACAAGCATCCTCTACAGTCATCAGCAAGATGAACGATTCGGACTTGGTTGTTTTAGTAATTAGGTCTTGAACGGGCGTAAAATACTTCTGTGGGAGGTAGTGTGCGACAACGAATTCACACCTAAGTCTAAATCAATTGGTTCCTACCTACAACTATTCAACGTCTTAGTAGATGATTTAAAACATTTACAAAATTTCTATACGTGTCCAATTATTCCGCATTCACGGATACGTGCACAACGAGATTGACATGAATTACGAATATGCAATTTACCACATGAAAGACAGGATTTACTGTTCTTTATTACTAAATTCTCTTATATGGAGCCACTGACTTCATTTCACTCTAACTAGAGATAATAGGAAATGAATCTAATTTATTATACCTCTGTCTGTTCTACTACACAATGTTAAGCAACGTTTGGCGTTCATATCCAAGTACCTTGCTGCTCTTCTGTGTCTCTTTTTTCTTCTTCGGAATCTTGCTCTGAGAGCACAGCTATGAAACTGCTGACGTCTGGAACAAACTTGACGTACGCGTCTCCTCAAGGTCATAGTTTCTGCAAGCGCTCTACGAGTCTACTTTATAACAACTATAAACTTAATAAGTTGGGAAGCATGTTGTGCACCAATAAATGTTGTAATTTATAGATCATGCCTGTAAAAGTGGCGTGTACCTGCACATGTAGAAATATATTATCATTATTATTAAAGTCGGATTAAAAGTGGTTTTCGCGTTATTCGCTTGTCTGAATGAATTGAAACGATTACTGTTTGAAGAAATTAAAGGTTTATTTCATGTTTGATAATAAGATATCATTTTGTTGCGTACCAGCACCAAAAGGGTTACTATTAATAAGCTCAAAGGTAAAATAGAAATATGTAGCTGTCTGGAAAGTACAGGGGATAATTTGTTTAGGCTGGTTTCTTAGTTTCCAGCACTTTATAATAGCAGTCAGTAGATCGTAGCGCCATATGTGCAGCTTTTCACCAAAATCCAAACCAAAAGCTTAAAACTCAAGCCAAAACGTTAAATTTCCCATAGTTCGATAAGGGACTCGGACTGATTCGTTGACCTGTGCTTTTTCAAGAGTTTCAGAACGACCGCTTAGCAATCTCTTTAGTTTGCTGGAGGAGAGTAGAATCGGATTATCAGGAAATGTATAATCCTTTGACAAGCTACAGGTTTCTCTACCAATAAAAGTCATTAAAATGAACTGAAATTCTGTCTTCCCTGAAGTCATATGGCTGACACTGGGTGACAAGATATTCTTAAAAAATTTTCATTTTCAGCGACGATCGGCGATTTTCTCAAGTTTTTTGGGTCCATTAGTGTCACGACGCTAGATATGAGTGTGAAATTTATCAACAAAGTACTCCTAATCCCAATAAGTACAGAAATTTGGTGAGACACAAGCAACAACCGGTAATAGGAGTACACAGTGTGAAATTGCAATATGTCGTTAAAACAGACTAAAACACAGAATAAAGTATTTGACTGCATGGTAAGTGTACTCATCATTCACCACAAATGTTGTGGCCAAAACTTCCCACATGCTTGGAAGAAGAGAGATTGTGAAGGTTGAGGTCCCTAAAATAAGGGCATTTTTACGCTCATTAAAAGAAGTGTGAGCCGTTTTGAAATGATATGGAAAATCTACAACACAAAAGCATCCTTTCAGTGCTCTTAGTTTTGTTGGAACTAAACGGTCTAAGTCCGGAGTCCTCATTTCTGTTCTCAACGCAAGAATCGGGCCATGCATCATATTTGAGTAGGCTTTTGCTTGATCAACAAGCGGCGGGTCATTTTTGTTGACTCCATTGTTTTCGACTGTCTGTCTTCTTAGGTTTTATTACCATTCTTTGACCTCCCCATCCTTATTGATTTACTATTTTAATCAAACTCTAACAATATGGCTCGTTCACCTTTTTTAAAGGCTAATCAATTCGAAACATAATCATTTGCCGATTGATTCAGATGCCAAACATACCAAAATCTCTACCACTCACAGAAATACATCGACGTTAAATTTTGACATTTGTGCAAACGAATTCGTAGCCGCGGTTATTTATGTACAATAATTTCTCTGTGATACGGAGTTTGAGCGAGGTGTTGTAGTTATGTAATGGAATTGGGCTCTAATACGAGACAGTGTGGGAAATTGACATTTAGCATTTAACACGGAGAAAAACGAAACGATAAAGGGGGCGGAAAGAATGAACCGAATTTAATTGGAGTTGATCGGATGGCATGGCTCGACCATGCAGGCGTGGTACCTGCGTAATGTTACCTTATATCTTTTATTCATATTAAATACATTGTTCTTTCTCTAGCCTAAGTTCGTTCTCCATCATGTATTGGTAATTGTTACGATACAGTGAGTTGGTGTAGACAATGATGTGGCTTCCACGCAAAATCTTATAGATTAGACAGTTATATCATGACGAATCTACAGTTTTAGGATTAGGTCTATTATTAGAGCAGTGCTAATATCATAGAAGACCATAGTTCTACAGTTACTAACACGTTCGCCGCTACAGAAAGTGGATGTTAATGATAATTTCAGGAATGTCAGTACTGATATCACTCCCTAACCACACGATCCTTGAAGCTGAACATTCAGTGACTTAGAGGATCTATAATAGTCCGTGAACACCTATAGAAGGTCGGAGAAGGTGAACGCAGGAGCAATTAATCGTGAAAGCATGGCTTGGCCATGCAGGCTCAGTCGCTCTGTGTAACGTCAAGGTCATTGTATCAAGTGTATTATTCTATTTCCAACCCAAAGGTTTTCTTCAAATGTTGTTGACTTTCTCGATGGGACACGTCAGTACAGACAACTATGTGACTTCTACGTACGATGTTGTTGACTAAGCAGGCACGTCACGCTAAACTAGATCTATACCCTATTGCGATAGATAAGTGCACTAGTAGCCATTCTAGACCTAGGTTCTACAGGTTCAGTGATATCAAGTATCTTGTGAAGTCACATTCAGACTTGAAAACGTTTGGTTCGTTTCAAAGACTATCAGAGAACAATCATTAAACTTGAAAGAACCCATTAGGGCGGCTATTTGTGTTAAAACACCGGGGCGTAAAGTACACATGAAATACCATCTCATTGCTTCAATTGACGTTATTTCTCCACTACACGTGTAAATTTTGCGTTTACTTCTTCATATATCTTGAATGCGTTTGGTTAGTGTAATAGCTGTTTAGTGACATGATCATATTCGATTCTGCAACCTTATTGTCTTGAAACTAATAATCGACACGTCCTAGAAATACATGGGATGTGACTTATGCACAGAGCGAAGAAGGATGGCACAACATATTGTTCCACTCAGAAAGACGAATAAATAGCACACATTAGCTCAATCGAAAGATATTGGCAATTGAAGCAGCTCGGATAATTGAATTGATATACAGTCCTCACCAAACGATAATGTGTTAGTTTAGGCATGTAAATATTTATATCTTAAACCTAACTTCTTTCAGTTATATATCAAGTATGCTTTGGTGCCCGTTTTCCATTCAGTGTTTTGTTATTCTAAAATGATATTTGGTGAAGGCCGTCGAGTACCGTGTTTCTGAATTTGAATTCGACTCTGTCGCGGATTCGTAGCAGTCCAATCGCATCCATCAGAGTATTTGAAAATCGTGTAAAACGTATGAATCCTAGTGGACATATAGTTGTCATCCGTAGGGATGGTACTGATGGTTTAACTTGCGATTGGTGTTCGCCCTTGTGTGATATTGGGAGGTAAATAATATATTCACTTGCAACCTCATTTCGCAGTAACCAGTCTTGTGACATTCGTGTGCAACACTCAACAGTCGCTCCATTTCATTGTACCCTGCAACTACTGAAAGATGGATCAGTTCAAGCCGTCAGCAGAGTAGATGGACGATACAAAATGTTAGTTAATAATTTCCCGTTGAACGATGCTTGCGTTTTGACTGATAATTGCATACTAACTGTTGGGGATCGCCAGTTTCGCTTTTTCTATCCATCAGTGAGTCTGTTTGGTTAAAAATGAATTAAATTATTATGTTCGTAATAGTTTTAGTATCATATGCCCTTTCTACTGCCGTAGATAATAGGATGATTCCCATCCATTTGTTATTTCCTGGCCATTTGTTGTATACTAGTAACTCATCTGGTGCAGCAGTTTTATAGACAAACCGTCTTTATAAGTGTTTGATATTGATCCTGGTTTGGCTCATTTATCTTCTCTTTCATAAATGGTGCATATTTAGTTATTTGAAGAACTTATCTGAGGTTTTTGACTACCTAAAATGGTCTTAAAATCCCTAGATTATTGAGAAACCTCGTGCATGTACATTCCGTTTTAGACATTAGTCCTACTATACATGCGTCCATTAGCATTATTCAATGCGTTTTGTATCATACCTAAGTGTTTCAGTCTGACTAATTTCCGATAAGTCCAATAAACTCGGCTACTAATCCCGTTGAATTTAGCGGTAAAACCAACTGTACAGTTGAATTTTCAGTTTAAATATTCTGTTAGTATAAGGCCTAGCATCAGCGTATCAATCCATTACTATATCTCATAACAGCACAGGAAATAGTGAACATCGGGAACAAAGCGGTAACAGTAAGTGGCGAAAACTAAAGTCTTCTTCGAAATAAACTTGTAAATCTAGAGGATGAAAGCAAGAAAACGCTTCTAAATTAAGAGTAAGGGTAGCCGAAAACGATATATCTACTCAGCCTTGATGGATTTCAAGTTGTTATCAAGAGCCAGTATGAGTCAGGTTTATCGCACACATCAGCCTCAAACTCCACGCTTACCGACACCGCTCACCCCACAGTCCTTCCACCTTCGTCCAACTTGGTCGTGTGCTAGCCATTAGCAAATAAGTGTGTGCGACATAACGTCTTAGCTAAATAAGTGTGTTTCATCTATGTAATAGTTATGAGTTTTGTCGGTTAGGTGCCTTGATCCTGTTTTGTCCACGGCAGTTGTTTACAGAAGTACTGTACTGTTTCATGTAAATACAATTTGGAATAAAACAAACTTGTCAAAACATATCTGTTTTATTAACAAACGGTAAAGATAATTTAACCTAATAAGGGAAAAATTCAAAGATGAAATATGGGAATTAAGAAGACTTAACTACATTCGTGGTAAAACTTCACTTAACCAGTTGACAAACAATGTTCATAGGTATAGCATGAGCTTTGCACATTCTAAATGCAAAGTACTTTTCCAAGACTCACATGACGCTGGATCTGCACTCATTCTTGGCGGTGAGTAGATAAAAGACTTATTTATTTGAACACAAACATTAGTACAACGGGGCGCCAAATGCATTTGCGCCACACAATAACAATAGGTTTGTAAAGAGATAATGTAAGTGCGTATAATAATAACAACAACAACGAACAGAAATTAGTGTGTGGACGTGAAATAATAGTAATAGCAAAAACAGAACCAGAAAGAATTTAAGTTAAAGAAGGTACATTCACTTTTATGGAGAACGATACAACAGGATCTCTTCTGACTTCGATTCTGAGTCATGCTTGATAACGTCTCTAGCCATAGGGCTGCATCATATTTAGGACCCCAACCAGAGAATCGTGAATGGCCAACAGAGGCCAGTTCTATTCAGCTTTCTTTCATACAACGACCACCCGCTTTTTCCAAGCAGTCCCAGCGTTGCCAAATACTCCACAACATGGAAATCGCTGGGACAATATTCATAAAACGTGTCCAAGCCGCAGAAGTCGATGTTCCAAGATGGTGTACTTGGATACACAATGCCGAACTTCTGCATTACTAACATGATTTCGCTACTGGATGTCAGCAGTCCTTCGCAGACAACGATGATCACAGAGTCGTCTACCATCATCGACTCGGAGAGGCCAGGTTTACAAGCATATGGCAAAACTGCACTCACCAACGCATTGTAGATCCGACATTTTACAGCCAGACTAATGACGGAGCCAACGATAGCCCAGATTGGCATTAGCCGCTCTGGCTTTCACTATACGTGAATTATTCTCATCACTCAAGCCATCACCAGCATTTACTCAGTTACCCAGATACACGAACTTCCCGACTACTTCTGTCTGCTAACGGTCCAAGATGAGTGCAGGTTCAGGGTCCTGATAGTCTTGTAAAAGTACTTTGCACTTCGAAGGTGCGAAACACAGACAATACCTACGGACACTGATTGCCAACTGATTAAGTGCGGACTGTATGGTTTGGGTATCATCACACAGTAAGACAATATCATCCACATACTCAAGATCGACAAGTCTTTCTCCAGGTAGCAGATCCACACCACCATTACCTACATCCATCAGAGCTGTTTCTAGAACGCTATCGATAGCAAAATTGAAGAGGAATGGTGAGGTTGAGCAACCCTGCATAACCCCGCTGCTTGAATGTAACAATGGAGAGAGGTGGTTGTATGCCCTCACTCTGCCTGAGATGTTTGTATATAGGGCTTTCATGATGTTCATAAATTTTTCAGACACACTACAATATACAATACCAAAAAACAGTCCTATCCAACGAATCGAAGGCAGCCCTAATATTAAGGAACATTACGATTGTTGAGATGGTGGAGAAGATTTGTAGCTCAGGTGGATGATTTTGGTGGAGTTTTGTTCTCTGAGCTGGATGGTTTGGTCGTGGAGCTTTCATCGTTCTTCTGGACGACATCATCAGCACAAACTTCAGATAGAAGTGAAGTGTTCAAATTTCTCCATATGTGTTTCACAGCTTGTTCTGTGCACCTCGATGTTAATTGGCTCTTGTCGACCTTAAATTTATCATTGTTTACTTCTTTGTTTTGCTTGTGTCTCCCATTGGTTTGATTTTTGTTCCTATATTTATGCATGATTTTTCTGGTTGGTTGATAAATTGGATTGATTTCAATATGTTTGATGATTGACCTGAGTGAAGGGCTTCCAAAAATTCTCTGGTGTTTTTGGAGTTTCCTCTGTCTAAGATTTCTACATTTTCCCAATCGAATGAGCGTCCGTAGTTATCCACGTGTATTGATATAAGTGAAGAGATATCATGGTGTTTGTCAGCCAGTCAGTCAGTCACAACGTAGAACTTCGTTCGTACGTACATCAGTTCGAGTTGCCACACCACTTTAGCACAGAGATGCAGTGGTCGATTCAAATCCCGTAGTGCTAGATGTAGTAAAATTATAAGCTGTAATCAGAAAAATTAGGGTTTGAAGATGTTATTCCAGGAGTATAATCCAGCGAAATAAATTTGGAAAGAGGAAAAAAGGGACATGAAGAATTCAGAAGATTAGAATTTGGTAGAACACAAAGAGTGGATGCACCTGCGCCATTGCAAACGATTTTGAGCCATGTCATTCAGGGTCTCTAACCATCGGTTGCTATCATCTCGTGGTCCCCAACCAGGTAGTCTACACCTACCAACATGACTCAGTTCACTTGTCAGTGACTTCATGGACTTGTGCCATGTTTTGGTCTGGCCGCTCCTAGCTTTCTTCCAACCTACTCCTATACCACTGAACATCGCACGTCGAGTAAGTCGGTCGTTGGGCATACGTAACACGTGTCCCAGCCATCTCAACTGATGAAGTTTTACTACTTCATCAATTGATTTGCCATCCTTACCTAGTACCCGTTTCCTAACAACTGTGTTACTTACTCGGTGGTCCCAGGATTGACGAGCAATGTTTCGAAGACACCTATGATCAAATACTAGTAACCTACGAAGATCCTCTACTCTTACCGGCCATGTTTCACTGCCATAAAGTAGGACGGAACGAACTGCTGCGCAGTAAACACGTCCTTTGGTTGATAGACAGATATCTCGCCTACGCCATAAATGACGCAAGTTGGCAAAAGCTAGTCGAGCCTTCTGTATCCGTGCTGAGATTTCGTCACACACTAAACCACAAGGGCTGATGAGACTTCCAAGATAAGTGGAGCGATCGACACACTCAACTACTTCACTCCCTATCACTAGTCCGGGTGTCGATGTAACCCAATCCTGAAGCAACATTTTGCATTTCGAGGGAGAAAATCGCATCCCGAACATGCTTGCATTGTTGCTTAGAGTGGTCAGAAGACTCTGCATTTTGTCAGCGTCTTCACCAAATAAAACTGTGTCATCAACATATTCTAAGTCAACAAGTGAACCTCCCGGTAGAAGTTCAACCCCTGGAAATTTAGATGAGGAGAGTGTTATCTCTAAAAGTACATCGACCACAAAGTTGAACAAGAATGGGGAGAGTGGACAGCCCTGACGAACACCACTTGAGGTAACCAATTCTGATGACAGTTCGCCATAAGCTCTCACTCTACCAGTTATGTTAGAGTAGAGAGCCCTAATAAGGTTAATGTGTTTTGGTACTCCTTTCAGTGATAAACACTGCCATAGAACCTCACGATCAACAGAGTCGAATGCCGCGTTTGACTGCTAATTGATGTTCATGTAGGCGTAGGTGGAGGGGGCGTCCGCTTTGTCCGATGTAGTGTTTGTCGCAGTTGGTACAATTTATTTTGTAGATGATGTTTGATTTGTTTTCCTTTGTTATTTCATCTTTTGGTTTGCATAGGATTGATGGTAGATTTTGTTGGTTTGTGTGCCACACCTATCCCGAAGGTTTTCAGCAGTCTCGTAGTTTCTGATATTCCTTGTATGTACAGTATATCAATACACGTGGATAACTACGGACGCTCATTCGATTGGGAAAATGTAGAAATCTTAGACAGAGGAAACTCCAAAAACACCAGAGAATTTTTGGAAGCCCTTCACTCAGGTCAATCATCAAACATATTGAAATCAATCCAATTTATCAACCAACCAGAAAAATCATGCATAAATATAGGAACAAAAATCAAACCAATGGGAGACACAAGCAAAACAAAGAAGTAAACAATGATAAATTTAAGGTCGACAAGAGCCAATTAACATCGAGGTGCACAGAACAAGCTGTGAAACACATATGGAGAAATTTGAACACTTCACTTCTATCTGAAGTTTGTGCTGATGATGTCGTCCAGAAGAACGATGAAAGCTCCACGACCAAACCATCCAGCTCAGAGAACAAAACTCCACCAAAATTACGATTGTTGACCTGTGATAAGTTTGGCGGTGTTTCAACATTTGCGGAGGGTGAAGATATGATCAATACATCCTCGATCAGAACAAAAACCAGCCTGCTCTTGGAAAGTCAATCTCGGGGTTTGAATAATATACGAAGTATGACGGAAGTCATCAGTTCGGATGCGATCGGAAGTAGACTTATCCGCCGAAAATTGTTGCATAGATTATATGGATCATTTTTAAAGGTAGGAGCAACTATAAACTCATCCCACAATATTGGAACAGTCTAACTGCCAGACATTTGTAAACGACTCAGTCCCTTAACCAGGTCTCCACCATTTTTGAAAAGTTAAGTCATCTAGGCCTTGTGATTTGTGTAGATTCAAAAGTTGGATTTCCTTGCGGACTTTTGCCTCGTTGGGCGGGTCAGTCGTCACCGGCCATGGAGGACAAGATAATCTGATCAATGTCCCTGGGGCAACTTGCCGATAGAACTATCCCTCGGAAAACTCTGCCCGTTTTCCAAGGCGTCGGTAGATGTTATTAATTGGTATCCTTTTACCTTCACAGATTATTTCACTCACACCAAACTTCTTGCTGCCATTAACTCGGATAAGTTGAAAGATCTTTCGGTAGTTACCAGATGTAGCTGCTGCTTCTAACTCGTTAGCACACTCCGACCACCAAGCTTCTCGATCAATACACAAACTTCGCACAATTTCGTTGCGTAACTATCTTCGTTTATGTTCAAACTCTCTGTGGACGTAGTAGAATAACGTGTTTCAACGATTTGTAAGGAGTCTGTAAAATCTCAGTGCTTACAAGCGGGATGTTTGTCGAAACGGCAAGCAACTTTACTCGCCATTTTCACGGCGTGATGTAAATGGGACAAATGCTCATCTATACTTCTCGGTGAATTGACAGCTAACCTTAAACCTGGCTCCGTTTGATATTTAGTTACAACAGAAGCTGCAATCAATTTGCTTACATCAATCCGTTCAGGTTGATGAATTTGTTGATCACGGAAACGTAAGATAAGATAAGCACAGACCAGGACATCGTCGGAGTCCAGATAAGTAATCCAAAAGGAGCGGCAGTCTATTACATAACCACGCCAGCGGTAACTGATAGCGATGTGATCAATCTGTTTATTTTATTGTTTATTTTAACACATAGACATTGGTACAAGGAGGCACCAAATACATATGGGCCACATAAATCATTCGACTTGTGTGAGGGCTGTGATACTACCGGGTGCCCAGACCGGAGCAGGTGGTTTACTTAGGGGGCCACACCCCGAACCTTCGACCTGAAGGTCTGATCCACAAAGCAGTGGAGCAACATAAGGAGATGCAGCCCCATGGCAGCTGGTGACCAACAATTGGTTCAGACGCCATTTGTTCCCTCAGGACACTGGAGCCCATGTGCACCAGTGGTTTGGAATCTGGTTAAGGCACCGGACATTCCCTTTTCGTCCTCACATTTTCGTAAACAACACCCCCGCCACGAGAAGGCAGTGAGTAGGACTTCCCTGGCAGAGACTATATACGCGTGGCCATGTGAGAGCATTTCGAGAGGGAGAGCGGACTCTCCCCACTCTCGACCATATCAGGGCATTTGTGGGCAATCTGTGCTCCGAGTCCAGGCTTGAGATGTAGATGGATGACGCTAGGTTTCACATCAAGGATGACTGTGCCGATAGTTGGTGCTAGACAGAAACAGGTTGTAGTCTGAAAAGATTTGCAGTAGACGGTACCGTTATCTGACCTGAGACCTGCAAGCCCCCATCTGCCACCCGAACGTTCCTCCTCTATGTCTATACGCCTAATCTGTGCATTCAGGTCTCTGGCTAGTACTACAATACCTGTCGAACGCGTTTTATGTAGAAAAACATTTAACTGGTAATAAAATTCATTCCTGATCGCATCTGAGCTGAAATCTGTCAGAGAGTAGGCGGAAATGACGAAAAAGCATGGTTTCTCATACCAATATCTCACTTTGATGGAAATTCTTAGTCTAACAGCACAAAACCGACTGTTAATGGGGATCCAATCAACTGGCAATGCATCAGCTTCAGCGCTTAATGCGATACCAACGCCAGCAAAGCCAAACCATAGGGTTCATGGATAAACGCATGTGTTTGGGCACAACGACGATAATTCAATTAGTGTCACCATCTTGGGACACCAACTTCGGCGGCTTGGGCATATAGTACTAATGTCGTCTTAGAGAATTCCATATCGCGCATTTTTTTTCCAGAGGCTGAGACTAGTTGTAAAAAAAAGGTGGTCGATGTACGACATGGTGTCATGGTATGAAAGAAATCTGTATAGGGCTGGCCTCTGTTGGTCCTTCACGATTCCCTGGTTGGGGCTTTAGACATGACTCAGAACAGAAGCCGGTGGCGATCCTGTTGTAATTTTCTTTCGCTGTATTTGAGACGAACTTGAGAGAATTCTTTCTGGTTTCATTTTTCTTAACTGAATTGCTCCCATCATTTTTTTCTCTCACACTGATTCCTATTCATTTTTCCATTATGCTCACTCTTTTTTCTCTATCTCTTCACAAATTTGTTTCTTTACTGTTTGGCGCATGTAAAGTATTGTGTCTTTTTGTACCAATATTTACGTTTAAATAAATTGATTTTATATATATATATATATATATATATATATATATATATATATATATATCAGAATGGGTTTTGTAGAGATTCTAGAAATTTCACAGATTGAAATCATGAGTCAATTGAAGCTAGAACACCATGGAAAACCTGGAAGCATTGGCCGGTCGTTTCTTCTTAGTATGGGACTCCTCAGCAATGTGCATCTACGGTCCCGCACCCCGCGAGATTCGAACCCAGGTCCTATCAGTCTCGCGCCAGGCGCTTAACCAACTAGACCACTGAGCCGGCATCCAACTGTTTTAATGTCTAACTTCAACCAATCCACGAAGTTGCGCCACCGTACACCATTGTTTTTAGTGAGTTCCTATCTCACAACAGACCTGGTTGAACTCCACTGGTAACGACTTCTCATTAGAACTCCAGGAGTATCTCTTGAAGTCAGCCACTAATGAGCAGATGTTTATTATCAGAATGGGTTTTTTGTGGAAATTTTAGAAATTTCACAGATTGAAGTTAGACATTAACACCGTTGGATGACGGCTCAGTGGTCTAGTTGGTTAAGCGCCTGGCGCGAGACTGATAGGGCCTGGGTTCGAGTCTCGCGAGGTTCAGGATCATGGATGCGCACTTCTGAGGAGCCCCATACTAGGACGAAACGGCCGTCCAGTGCTTCCAGGTTTTTCATGATGTTCTAGCTTCAATTGACTCATGATTTCAATCTGTGATATATATGTATAATTCTTTTACTCTGGTCTTACCATGTGTTTATGATTCACAGTGGAGTTTGGCGAATGCACTTATGCTTAACGAATTCGGAAGTAATTCGCTTATGCCGAAATGTAATTCCTGAATGATGTAATTGTTTAGTCTAGTTCTATGTGGATCGTAACATTTCATGATACTTATTGGAAAAATACAGGCAATACTTTATGGAGTGTTGAGTGTTCTCAGTTTCAAAAGGCACGACTTGGTTCTAAATAGCAAAGGCTAAATAGACTATAATGTAATATATAGCTTGTAGACTCACAAACTGTTTGACTTAAAATGGTGTAATATCCCCCAGTAGTTTTCTCGAAATAGCGAATCTCCGTGACATTAAAAAACATGTCACAGTTGTACAAATAATTCCAATTTTCTAAGTTATACACCTGGTTTAATACTTCGCTCATTTGCTGACTTGTTTATAATTTTGATTAAACACATTAGTTTCTCTTCAGTGTAGTATAGTGACCTTTCAGATGAGCACATCAAAATACGTAAACTTATTTTGGAGAGTTGATTCTTAAAACGTGTAAATAAAATTTAACGGCACATTTCTAGTTACGGAAGTTGTGGTTTTCAATCACATCATTTATCTGAATCCTACCCTGCGATACAGGGTTCAGACAAGTTGACAATTTGATTAACTGTGATTATGACTTGTGGAAATAACTGTTAAATACAGCAGTCTAATCGGTAGCAAGTTTGTGTTACTCTTTCAACCTTGTGAAATAAGCGAATTTAGTTTATGTACATGAGTAACAAACTTTCACCTAGTTAACATGTTTTTATGGAAGTTTCCTCTCATTCGGGAAGTAATAATAACAAAAATATTCTTGCTAATATAATAATATAATATGTGCGTTGCAATTTGTTTACCCTAATTTCAGAGTCGAAAGACAACAAATAATTATTTATACGAAACGTCCAGTAAAACACCAAAACACTATAACAAAGAAGAGGTTATAACTCCAACCTCTCTACCTGTTGTTCATCCATCCAAACGTACCACTCCTAGAAAGATATTAGTTAATCCTAAAACTCGCTCCCCTCGACAGAGGTCTGTGACTCCGAAAAGAACCCTAGGGACCAACGAACGTTATGGTCCAGTTCCTCCTCGTCAACCAGCTACCCCACCAATAATCCAAGTACTCCGACACGAACCGAATTCATCACAGTCAAAGCAGCTACCTGTATTGCAAGCAGAAAATGTCGAGTTTAATAAAAAAAGTGTAGGTGATGGTAAGGGTTATAGCTGTACAGATGTGAGTGTTTCTAAATCAAATCAAACAAAGTCATCTGTCGTTCCTGACTTGTCAGATCCAACATCCCATCCCTCGAGCAGTGCTTTGTCATCTATCAAAGTGAGGTCACAAAACCGTATTCACACTCCGATTATTACATCTACTTTATCTAATGATCACTTCAACTTCACACCAAACGAAAATAAACGTTCACCCGGTTTTAGAAAGAGTTTCCATAAGCTTCTCATCTTAAATGAATCATCTAACCAATCCAACCTTTGCAAAATTAATCAGTTTTATGATGAATTAAGTTATGTAAAGCAGCAGGTGATTGAAAGCAAGAGATCACCATCTAATGAACAAGAAAACCAATCTTGTTACGATAAATGCCTTGATCATCCCACAGAAGGTTCCCGTGAATATATTCCAGAGTTGCCCACATCACCGAATTCCCTGAGGATTGCGAGGAAATTGTCTGCAAAGTCATCGCAGAAAATTAGCATAGCATATTCACCAGAAACAGAACAAGAATTGATTAGCCGTGATAGAAAACGTACCATATCCGGTAAAACTTATCCAGTTGCAGAGGACATGCTTGCTCCTAAACGTCGGAGGGGGGTTTCATTCGGCCCACCCTTAAGCCCTGAACGATTTGATAAATCTCTTCCCCCGTCTACTCCGGTTAAGCGAGGTGGAACTCCACTAGTCAAAATAAGTCACAGTACCCCAGCAAACCATAGTTTACAAGTCACTTCAGTTGTTGGGCACTCAGCTACACCATTTGATTCCAAATTGTCAGAAGTATCGCATTTATCAGATTTCTCAAAAACATGTGAATCTCCGAATTACAATGTAACACATAATCGAGTTTCTGCAGTCATCTCTCTCCCTCCAACACCAGACACTAATCTTCTAAATTCCTTGAGTACTGATATTAGTTGTGCTCATGAAAGTTTCGCTAATTTCCCAGTGACTTCCGCAGCTTACTCTGCTCCAATAAAAAAATCCTCAGTCAGCCGAAAAAATTTCAAAAGACATTCACTTGGGTTCCTAGAGAAAACAAGTAAAACACCGTCACCGAGAGTCCCACCAACTAGTCCTGTATCAACCAAACAAAATAAAAAAAACAAATCAACAAACGAACATAATGCTAAAATTCAGGGAAAAAAGTCAAAAAGCCTCCATACCTACGGTGCAAAAACTTATAATAATAACAACTACAACAAACTATACTCCAGTGTTCCTCATAGCCTACTAAATATTACCCAGGAAGACAAACATCATAAAGGAACACCTCCAGTGCCATCGACCAACTTGACAGAGGAGGAAGCAGTTACACCTGAGAAGAGTTTGTTGTCTCCACGAAAGGAATCTGGTTTGACTGGTGTCAGGAAGTTGATGAGAACTCCGAAGCCTGTGCAAACACCTCGTATATCTGGTGTTAGTGAACTGTTTGTCGATGAACCTAGTGTGAAGAGACGTCGTAGTCGACCCTCATCAGTGCCACCGACCAACTTGACAGAGGAGGAAGCAGTTACACCTGAGAAGAGTTTGTTGTCTCCACGAAAGGAATCTGGTTTGACTGGTGTCAGGAAGTTGATGAGAACTCCGAAGCCTGTGCAAACACCTCGTATATCTGGTGTTAGTGAACTGTTTGTCGATGAACCTAGTGTGAAGAGACGTCGTAGTCGACCCTCATCAGTGCCACCGACCAACTTGACAGAGGAGGAAGCAGTTACACCTGAGAAGAGTTTGTTGTCTCCACGAAAGGAATCTGGTTTGACTGGTGTCAGGAAGTTGATGAGAACTCCGAAGCCTGTGCAAACACCTCGTATATCTGGTGTTAGTGAACTGTTTGTCGATGAACCTAGTGTGAAGAGACGTCGTGGTCGACCCTCATCAGTGCCACCGACCAACTTGACAGAGGAGGAAGCAGTTACACCTGAGAAGAGTTTGTTGTCTCCACGAAAGGAATCTGGTTTGACTGGTGTCAGGAAGTTGATGAGAACTCCGAAGCCTGTGCAAACACCTCGTATATCTGGTGTTAGTGAACTGTTTGTCGATGAACCTAGTGTGAAGAGACGTCGTGGTCGACCCTCATCAGTGCCACCGACCAACTTGACAGAGGAGGAAGCAGTTACACCTGAGAAGAGTTTGTTGTCTCCACGAAAGGAATCTGGTTTGACTGGTGTCAGGAAGTTGATGAGAACTCCGAAGCCTGTGCAAACACCTCGTATATCTGGTGTTAGTGAACTGTTTGTCGATGAACCTAGTGTGAAGAGACGTCGTGGTCGACCCTCATCAGTGCCACCGACCAACTTGACAGAGGAGGAAGCAGTTACACCTGAGAAGAGTTTGTTGTCTCCACGAAAGGAATCTGGTTTGACTGGTGTCAGGAAGTTGATGAGAACTCCGAAGCCTGTGCAAACACCTCGTATATCTGGTGTTAGTGAACTGTTTGTCGATGAACCTAGTGTGAAGAGACGTCGTGGTCGACCCTCATCAGTGCCACCGACCAACTTGACAGAGGAGGAAGCAGTTACACCTGAGAAGAGTTTGTTGTCTCCACGAAAGGAATCTGGTTTGACTGGTGTCAGGAAGTTGATGAGAACTCCGAAGCCTGTGCAAACACCTCGTATATCTGGTGTTAGTGAACTGTTTGTCGATGAACCTAGTGTGAAGAGACGTCGTAGTCGACCCTCATCAGTGCCACCGACCAACTTGACAGAGGAGGAAGCAGTTACACCTGAGAAGAGTTTGTTGTCTCCACGAAAGGAATCTGGTTTGACTGGTGTCAGGAAGTTGATGAGAACTCCGAAGCCTGTGCAAACACCTCGTATATCTGGTGTTAGTGAACTGTTTGTCGATGAACCTAGTGTGAAGAGACGTCGTGGTCGACCCTCATCAGTGCCACCGACCAACTTGACAGAGGAGGAAGCAGTTACACCTGAGAAGAGTTTGTTGTCTCCACGAAAGGAATCTGGTTTGACTGGTGTCAGGAAGTTGATGAGAACTCCGAAGCCTGTGCAAACACCTCGTATATCTGGTGTTAGTGAACTGTTTGTCGATGAACCTAGTGTGAAGAGACGTCGTGGTCGACCCTCATCAGTGCCACCGACCAACTTGACAGAGGAGGAAGCAGTTACACCTGAGAAGAGTTTGTTGTCTCCACGAAAGGAATCTGGTTTGACTGGTGTCAGGAAGTTGATGAGAACTCCGAAGCCTGTGCAAACACCTCGTATATCTGGTGTTAGTGAACTGTTTGTCGATGAACCTAGTGTGAAGAGACGTCGTAGTCGACCCTCATCAGTGCCACCGACCAACTTGACAGAGGAGGAAGCAGTTACACCTGAGAAGAGTTTGTTGTCTCCACGAAAGGAATCTGGTTTGACTGGTGTCAGGAAGTTGATGAGAACTCCGAAGCCTGTGCAAACACCTCGTATATCTGGTGTTAGTGAACTGTTTGTCGATGAACCTAGTGTGAAGAGACGTCGTGGTCGACCCTCATCAGTGCCACCGACCAACTTGACAGAGGAGGAAGCAGTTACACCTGAGAAGAGTTTGTTGTCTCCACGAAAGGAATCTGGTTTGACTGGTGTCAGGAAGTTGATGAGAACTCCGAAGCCTGTGCAAACACCTCGTATATCTGGTGTTAGTGAACTGTTTGTCGATGAACCTAGTGTGAAGAGACGTCGTGGTCGACCCTCATCAGTGCCACCGACCAACTTGACAGAGGAGGAAGCAGTTACACCTGAGAAGAGTTTGTTGTCTCCACGAAAGGAATCTGGTTTGACTGGTGTCAGGAAGTTGATGAGAACTCCGAAGCCTGTGCAAACACCTCGTATATCTGGTGTTAGTGAACTGTTTGTCGATGAACCTAGTGTGAAGAGACGTCGTGGTCGACCCTCATCAGTGCCACCGACCAACTTGACAGAGGAGGAAGCAGTTACACCTGAGAAGAGTTTGTTGTCTCCACGAAAGGAATCTGGTTTGACTGGTGTCAGGAAGTTGATGAGAACTCCGAAGCCTGTGCAAACACCTCGTATATCTGGTGTTAGTGAACTGTTTGTCGATGAACCTAGTGTGAAGAGACGTCGTGGTCGACCCTCATCAGTGCCACCGACCAACTTGACAGAGGAGGAAGCAGTTACACCTGAGAAGAGTTTGTTGTCTCCACGAAAGGAATCTGGTTTGACTGGTGTCAGGAAGTTGATGAGAACTCCGAAGCCTGTGCAAACACCTCGTATATCTGGTGTTAGTGAACTGTTTGTCGATGAACCTAGTGTGAAGAGACGTCGTGGTCGACCCTCATCAGTGCCACCGACCAACTTGACAGAGGAGGAAGCAGTTACACCTGAGAAGAGTTTGTTGTCTCCACGAAAGGAATCTGGTTTGACTGGTGTCAGGAAGTTGATGAGAACTCCGAAGCCTGTGCAAACACCTCGTATATCTGGTGTTAGTGAACTGTTTGTCGATGAACCTAGTGTGAAGAGACGTCGTGGTCGACCCTCATCAGTGCCACCGACCAACTTGACAGAGGAGGAAGCAGTTACACCTGAGAAGAGTTTGTTGTCTCCACGAAAGGAATCTGGTTTGACTGGTGTCAGGAAGTTGATGAGAACTCCGAAGCCTGTGCAAACACCTCGTATATCTGGTGTTAGTGAACTGTTTGTCGATGAACCTAGTGTGAAGAGACGTCGTAGTCGACCCTCATCAGTGCCACCGACCAACTTGACAGAGGAGGAAGCAGTTACACCTGAGAAGAGTTTGTTGTCTCCACGAAAGGAATCTGGTTTGACTGGTGTCAGGAAGTTGATGAGAACTCCGAAGCCTGTGCAAACACCTCGTATATCTGGTGTTAGTGAACTGTTTGTCGATGAACCTAGTGTGAAGAGACGTCGTGGTCGACCCTCATCAGTGCCACCGACCAACTTGACAGAGGAGGAAGCAGTTACACCTGAGAAGAGTTTGTTGTCTCCACGAAAGGAATCTGGTTTGACTGGTGTCAGGAAGTTGATGAGAACTCCGAAGCCTGTGCAAACACCTCGTATATCTGGTGTTAGTGAACTGTTTGTCGATGAACCTAGTGTGAAGAGACGTCGTGGTCGACCCTCATCAGTGCCACCGACCAACTTGACAGAGGAGGAAGCAGTTACACCTGAGAAGAGTTTGTTGTCTCCACGAAAGGAATCTGGTTTGACTGGTGTCAGGAAGTTGATGAGAACTCCGAAGCCTGTGCAAACACCTCGTATATCTGGTGTTAGTGAACTGTTTGTCGATGAACCTAGTGTGAAGAGACGTCGTGGTCGACCCTCATCAGTGCCACCGACCAACTTGACAGAGGAGGAAGCAGTTACACCTGAGAAGAGTTTGTTGTCTCCACGAAAGGAATCTGGTTTGACTGGTGTCAGGAAGTTGATGAGAACTCCGAAGCCTGTGCAAACACCTCGTATATCTGGTGTTAGTGAACTGTTTGTCGATGAACCTAGTGTGAAGAGACGTCGTAGTCGACCCTCATCAGTGCCACCGACCAACTTGACAGAGGAGGAAGCAGTTACACCTGAGAAGAGTTTGTTGTCTCCACGAAAGGAATCTGGTTTGACTGGTGTCAGGAAGTTGATGAGAACTCCGAAGCCTGTGCAAACACCTCGTATATCTGGTGTTAGTGAACTGTTTGTCGATGAACCTAGTGTGAAGAGACGTCGTGGTCGACCCTCATCAGTGCCACCGACCAACTTGACAGAGGAGGAAGCAGTTACACCTGAGAAGAGTTTGTTGTCTCCACGAAAGGAATCTGGTTTGACTGGTGTCAGGAAGTTGATGAGAACTCCGAAGCCTGTGCAAACACCTCGTATATCTGGTGTTAGTGAACTGTTTGTCGATGAACCTAGTGTGAAGAGACGTCGTGGTCGACCCTCATCAGTGCCACCGACCAACTTGACAGAGGAGGAAGCAGTTACACCTGAGAAGAGTTTGTTGTCTCCACGAAAGGAATCTGGTTTGACTGGTGTCAGGAAGTTGATGAGAACTCCGAAGCCTGTGCAAACACCTCGTATATCTGGTGTTAGTGAACTGTTTGTCGATGAACCTAGTGTGAAGAGACGTCGTAGTCGACCCTCATCAGTGCCACCGACCAACTTGACAGAGGAGGAAGCAGTTACACCTGAGAAGAGTTTGTTGTCTCCACGAAAGGAATCTGGTTTGACTGGTGTCAGGAAGTTGATGAGAACTCCGAAGCCTGTGCAAACACCTCGTATATCTGGTGTTAGTGAACTGTTTGTCGATGAACCTAGTGTGAAGAGACGTCGTAGTCGACCCTCATCAGTGCCACCGACCAACTTGACAGAGGAGGAAGCAGTTACACCTGAGAAGAGTTTGTTGTCTCCACGAAAGGAATCTGGTTTGACTGGTGTCAGGAAGTTGATGAGAACTCCGAAGCCTGTGCAAACACCTCGTATATCTGGTGTTAGTGAACTGTTTGTCGATGAACCTAGTGTGAAGAGACGTCGTGGTCGACCCTCATCAGTGCCACCGACCAACTTGACAGAGGAGGAAGCAGTTACACCTGAGAAGAGTTTGTTGTCTCCACGAAAGGAATCTGGTTTGACTGGTGTCAGGAAGTTGATGAGAACTCCGAAGCCTGTGCAAACACCTCGTATATCTGGTGTTAGTGAACTGTTTGTCGATGAACCTAGTGTGAAGAGACGTCGTGGTCGACCCTCATCAGTGCCACCGACCAACTTGACAGAGGAGGAAGCAGTTACACCTGAGAAGAGTTTGTTGTCTCCACGAAAGGAATCTGGTTTGACTGGTGTCAGGAAGTTGATGAGAACTCCGAAGCCTGTGCAAACACCTCGTATATCTGGTGTTAGTGAACTGTTTGTCGATGAACCTAGTGTGAAGAGACGTCGTGGTCGACCCTCATCAGTGCCACCGACCAACTTGACAGAGGAGGAAGCAGTTACACCTGAGAAGAGTTTGTTGTCTCCACGAAAGGAATCTGGTTTGACTGGTGTCAGGAAGTTGATGAGAACTCCGAAGCCTGTGCAAACACCTCGTATATCTGGTGTTAGTGAACTGTTTGTCGATGAACCTAGTGTGAAGAGACGTCGTGGTCGACCCTCATCAGTGCCACCGACCAACTTGACAGAGGAGGAAGCAGTTACACCTGAGAAGAGTTTGTTGTCTCCACGAAAGGAATCTGGTTTGACTGGTGTCAGGAAGTTGATGAGAACTCCGAAGCCTGTGCAAACACCTCGTATATCTGGTGTTAGTGAACTGTTTGTCGATGAACCTAGTGTGAAGAGACGTCGTGGTCGACCCTCATCAGTGCCACCGACCAACTTGACAGAGGAGGAAGCAGTTACACCTGAGAAGAGTTTGTTGTCTCCACGAAAGGAATCTGGTTTGACTGGTGTCAGGAAGTTGATGAGAACTCCGAAGCCTGTGCAAACACCTCGTATATCTGGTGTTAGTGAACTGTTTGTCGATGAACCTAGTGTGAAGAGACGTCGTGGTCGACCCTCATCAGTGCCACCGACCAACTTGACAGAGGAGGAAGCAGTTACACCTGAGAAGAGTTTGTTGTCTCCACGAAAGGAATCTGGTTTGACTGGTGTCAGGAAGTTGATGAGAACTCCGAAGCCTGTGCAAACACCTCGTATATCTGGTGTTAGTGAACTGTTTGTCGATGAACCTAGTGTGAAGAGACGTCGTGGTCGACCCTCATCAGTGCCACCGACCAACTTGACAGAGGAGGAAGCAGTTACACCTGAGAAGAGTTTGTTGTCTCCACGAAAGGAATCTGGTTTGACTGGTGTCAGGAAGTTGATGAGAACTCCGAAGCCTGTGCAAACACCTCGTATATCTGGTGTTAGTGAACTGTTTGTCGATGAACCTAGTGTGAAGAGACGTCGTGGTCGACCCTCATCAGTGCCACCGACCAACTTGACAGAGGAGGAAGCAGTTACACCTGAGAAGAGTTTGTTGTCTCCACGAAAGGAATCTGGTTTGACTGGTGTCAGGAAGTTGATGAGAACTCCGAAGCCTGTGCAAACACCTCGTATATCTGGTGTTAGTGAACTGTTTGTCGATGAACCTAGTGTGAAGAGACGTCGTGGTCGACCCTCATCAGTGCCACCGACCAACTTGACAGAGGAGGAAGCAGTTACACCTGAGAAGAGTTTGTTGTCTCCACGAAAGGAATCTGGTTTGACTGGTGTTAGGAAGTTGATGAGAACTCCGAAGCCTGTGCAAACACCTCGTATATCTGGTGTTAGTGAACTGTTTGTCGATGAACCTAGTGTGAAGAGACGTCGTGGTCGACCCTCATCAGTGCCACCGACCAACTTGACAGAGGAGGAAGCAGTTACACCTGAGAAGAGTTTGTTGTCTCCACGAAAGGAATCTGGTTTGACTGGTGTTAGGAAGTTGATGAGAACTCCGAAGCCTGTGCAAACACCTCGTATATCTGGTGTTAGTGAACTGTTTGTCGAGAAACCTAGTGTGAACGTGCATTGTAGTTCACAGAAACTTTCTGGTGTTGCTTCATTGTCTCGTAGACATTGTAAATCGTGTCGTTGTTTGCTCGCTGCATGTCAATGTGGTTTTGATTTCAATTACGTGGTTAACAAGTGTTCTATGAGAAAATCTGACCTTGTCGTTGAGTCTCTTTCATCCATTCGTACGCGTCGTGTTGTTAAAATATCGAAGTCTTCAGTCGATAAATATGCTAACTCTGATTGTTCTATTTTGAAAAAATTACCTGGAAAATTTACATCTCAATCGACTAATGAAGTCACCGTACAGGCGTCGAAAACTAGGTCAAAAACCAAGAGGAACGTTTCCACCATGGATTCACAAAATTCTGATTCTCTTTCAGATCGTTCAATGAGTGTAGTAAAGTCTCTGGATAAACGGATGTTGAAAGAACTCACTGAAGTGGTTGTTCCGTTCTCGAATAATGTGATGGAAAATCATTCTCGGAAAGGGAAGACTCTCGCATTTACATCTCGGTTGACTCCTAATGATATGTCAAATTCATGTGATAAATCTGCACTTTTGAAAATGGGTTTTATTGAGAACTCACATCCTACGGTATCCTTTAGCTCGAACACATCTAAGGATCGTGAGTCTGATTCTGTTGTTCCTGTCGCAAGCCGTCTCCGTAATAGAAGGATCCCGTCAAGTATTGAACGTTTGTCACCTAGTCGTACTCGACGTGCAGTTAAAGTACCGGACCCTTTGATCAGTGAATCTGCCACTAAAGGCAGTTCCGGTAAGAGTTCCGTGATGAAAACATCCTTTAGAAAAGTTGTATCTCAATCAAATAATGAGGTTGCCATACAACCGTCGAAAACTAGGTCAAAAACCAAGAAGAACGTTTCCATTATGGATTCGCAGTTTCCAGATTCTCTGCTCAATCATTCGGTCAATGCAACGAAGTCTGCAAACAACACCTCAAAAAGATCTATAAAGAGACTAGCTGAAGTGCGTAGAGTCTCTTCTAGTATTCCATTGGCCAAACGTCTACGGAGTAGAATTGATCAGTTGGATATTAAATGTATAACATCTGAACACACACAAAATGAAGAAAGATCTTTATCCGTGAAAAACCAATCTGGTGAGGAAAAGAAGAAAAATGGTACCAAAAGAAATAACCCGCAAAACCGTAAACAGCTAATCACTTCAAAATCAAAACTACTTCCAACTACTTCATCTTCAAAATCTGCTTCAACTAATGAATCTAAAAATATTACAACATTGAAGGTTAAAACAAATTCACGACATATTAAACGCATTTCTGTTACGCCTGTTGATAATATAGCTAATGTTTCACCAAAAAGACGTGTTCTTCGTTCTCGTAAGTTAATAACTACTTCTTCAGAAATAAGTCAACCAATTGAAGAAAAAATATCAACTAAAATCACTAATAAGTCGAAATTAAAGACCACTACTACTACTAATAATAATGATAATAATAATAATAGTAGATCAGTAGTATCGAAATCATCTCAAGCTAAACAATCACCAGTTTCAATTCGTCAAACTCGTTCAAGAAAAAAACAGACAGCAACAAACAATCTATAAAAATAAATAATACTTTTATTCATTAATTCGTAAATAACAAACAAAAAAAGTTTACCTATTTTTAACACCTTTATGTATTTATGTTTAGTGTATTATTTATTCAAAGGAACAATCTATTATCCTTATTCCATTCAAAGAGTACCATATATATATATATATATATCACTTGTTGTTACCATAGTTACTATCATTATTATTATTAGTAGTAGTAGTAGTAATAATAATAATAATAATATTAATACACTCTCTAGAGTAACAACATTTACCAATACGATTGAATACTAATGTTTATTAGTTAGTTAACTTATTCATTCATGGTTTTATGTTAATTCTTATTACAATATTACTGTAATTTATTTCGTTTTTATTATTTTTTTTAGAATTAAATCTATCTATCTATATTTACTGTCCACTTAGGTTATGCTGTTAAAATTGATGTTGTATATAATCTATACATGTTTCTATTTATTATATATAATAGTTTAAGTGTATATTTGTTTTGTTATTGTTAATACAATGTATCATACATTGTCATTATTATTATGATTAATGTCAACTTTTATTTCTAATCATTTCTACGTTTATATTTTATTGTTGCATTCACTTTTGTTTTCTTCAAAAATGCTAAACGTCAAGCAATATATATATATATATATATATATATATGTATATGTATCTGTTGTATATTCAGTCAGTGTGCTGTTACGAGTATGAGGGCTGATGTCACTTCCCGGCTGCCCACACCGTGGAAGGGTATTTCTTGAGGAACCTGAAAGGGAAATTGGATTAGTGTTGGTCTTAAAGACCTGGGAGCGTGACCACAGAGCCCAAGAGACACCTGCTTGAGGCCGGTCGCGCACGGCCTTTTCGTGGAAGGTTTTTAATGTGTTAGCTCCGTTCTTCAAAGGGCCTTACCGCCGGAGACGGAAATCCGTGAGGTGTGACATTTTTAGGGTCGACCTTTTCTAACCCCACCCCTCCTTGTGAGAAGGCAGCATCGCTGCAGATGCTGGTTGTCCGATGGAAACACCTTACTGATGTCACACCCATCTACAGTCAGCAGTACGACTTCGTCCTCAGACCTTGAGTTGCTGCTTTTAGTATTACCGTTCTCCAGTCGTCTTGCCTGGCATGGTAGAACCTACAGGAACATATGTTCCAGCCAATATAACTTAGTTGGGTCATCACGATAGGCAAGCGCGACCACCGCATCAAGGTAGCAGCTACGGTCGGTATCTGTTGTATATTGTTCATTATAAGGTCTAAGTGAATTTCATTTACAGGAAAAATGCTCAATCAAGTATTGTGTAGAGTACTTCAGTTAATTCATCTTTATAACCATGATATTAACACCGTTAAATACCGGCTCAGTAGTGATCTAGAGGTTAAGCGTTCGCACACAAGACCAATAGGTCCTGGGCTCGAATCTCACAGGGTGGATTCGTGGGTGTGCACTACTGAGGAGTCCCATAATAGGATGAAACGGCTACTTAGTGCTTCTAGATTTTCCATAGTGATCTAGATTCAATTGACTCATGATCTCAACTATTGAAATTGCTATAATATCCACGAAAATCCTTTTCTGACAAGTTTTTATTATCTAGTAATTGTTCTGTTTATACAGTCTGAGCAAGAAATCTCTATTGATAATTTACCTTTATGCGCTGGGTTCTAACTGACCTAAAATGTGAATCATACTTTTGAAGTGTTTATTGAACGATTTGTCAGGTATTTTAAAAAAAAGTTAAATCTAGGATTTTAGTTGTGTATTAAATAGAATAGATTATTAGACTAGAAATTATACTGTCATGTACTATAAGCCAGTTTCCTATAATTTGTAACATAGAAGTCATTAATGGTGAAATACAATAGCTGTGTTTTTTTTATAATATTAGGCTAAGAGTTGTGTGAATGAAGATTTAATTCTCTGTTTAGGACATTTTCAGATATGCAATCTTCAATATCAGTAAACAACTTTAGTTGAGATAACTATGCATCTTAAGATTTGCAACAACTTAGCAATTTAAGTATGGGTACTATTCTTCGAGAAAGATATTTCAAGTGTATCTGGTTAGTTTTACCGATCATTGAGAAATGTTAAAGATGACAATGTATACATTAGCGCACAGTTGCATAATTACGTTGAGTTTTATTTCTAATGTGATCATTTATCATGCATTAGAAAACAAATAAGATTGAAAAATCCCGTGATTTTAAAAATAAGATTTGCAGGTAGATACAACATAAATGAAACTGGTTTACCGTAATGAGTTTTGTTCCATCCCAGGTAATCTATGATTTAAAATCATATCGATCCTGCAAATTCCAACTAGTCAAACTGAACATATCGACACGACTCAGTCCAGTTTTCTGTTTGACTGTCTCTGGCTTACATCTGGTATAGACCATTCATCATTACGCATTTAAGTCGATGTATAATAAGTGTCCAAACCATCTAACGACAAAGTTTTATGACATCGCAATTATCGTAACCAGTAGTTGGAGACAGTGACATTGGTCAGAATAGGCCGCAATGTCATAGATTCATTCACTCCTTATGTTCTCTTAAATCCTGAGTTTTGAGATCATATACGTTTTATTCCCATGAATTTATTCTCACATCATCTATATCTAGTGTTCCCCACTTCCACTGATACTGTTATTAACATGGAATGCCTTGGTAATTTCATCCCTCGGTACTGATTTAGGGTGACAACTTGTGCTGAAACACATGTGCCAGGCTCCGCTATATTCGACTGAGTAACATCGCATCGTTAATATGTTTACAATGCATACCTCAAATTCATACCGCCCAATGAAACTCTTAGACTTTACTTCCTACATATTCTACATTTTATTTCATGAATTTGCTGGACATTTGTTAGTATTGACTATACAATCACGATGTGATTGATGATTATAAAGATGAGAGACATTCTGTTTCCTTTATAGATAACATGACGCTCTTATATGAAGTTAAGGTCTTAAATAAGTATGCGAATCCTTTTCAACTTATTCAATAACAAGTCTAGATATTTCAAACCGCCCTTAAGCTAAAAAGTACTTGTAAGTTGCTAATCTTCTGAATGTATTATGGAGAGTGATGATGACACAGCTCTTAAAATGTTTTGAAGAATATGAATTATTGCTAGAATTTCATATTCCATCAAGCAGTATCATACCAGGATTAAGCGTCACAAAGCTAGGGAAAAGAACGTATGCGAAATTATAATTGAAAGCCTCTTTTTCACTTGTAAGATATATTGTTCGTCGAGTAAAGTACACAAGTGAGAAATATATTTAGTGGGTTTTATTTGGAACTGGTCGTTTAAATTTTTGTGTGACTCAGAAGTCTTATTCACTCTAGTACGTAGGCAATGTCTCAATCTCACTCGAATTCGATTTGTATTTTGAGTGCTTCATGTAGCTGTTAAATTCACTTATCTCTCGAAGACGTGTTACCTGATGAAGGAATCAAACTATGCAATATGGAAGTGGTATGTCAAATGTATTTGTAGATGACACAAGTGTTGTCACAGCTTGGATTCGGAGGGCTCGATTAGCCTTCGCCAACTTGCATCACTTGTCACTTAGGTTAGATACCTATCTACCAACAACAAGATGAGTTTACTGTTCATAAATTCTCTCTGTTCTATATTATGGATGTGAAACATGGTTATTAAAAATAGAGAATATTTGTAGATAATTGTTTTCGATCATATATGTCTTTGGAGCATCGCCTGTGTATTTTCGGATCACCGAGTGAGTAATGTCAAGGTCAGGCTTAAAGTACGATGTAAATATGGAAAATCGATCGGTAAGACAGTGAATCCTCAACTGAGGTGATTGGGAAATGTGTATACTTGGTCATCACTTACCACGATAAGCGATCTTCTATAGAAGCAGGTTGGAAGAAAGCTCGTGCCATCAATCCACGAAGGCTTCGACAGTTGGATTGAGTCGTGTAGATGGTTGACGGGTTCATGATCTCAATGAAATTCAACAATCTCCGCAACGTCATTCGGAAAATTATCATGCCCTCACTCATCAGTATCTTCAAGAGGGAATTTCCGGAGTTCTAGTGAGAAGCGTGACCAGTGGAGCTAAACTGTGTCGTGTGTGAGGCATTTACCCACCGAAAACAGTGGGAGATGATTGCGCAATATCGTGGATTGGTTGAGATTAGACATTAACACTATTGGATGTCAGCTCAGTGGTTTAGGGGTTAAATGCTTGAGCGGAACCGAAGACCCTGCATTTTAGTCCCGCCTGCGTGATCGTGGATGTGCAATGTTGAAGAGTCTCGTTCTAGAACGAAACTGCCGTTTAGTACTTCCAGGTTTCCTATATTGGTCTTTCATTGATCAGTTCATGGTTCCAATGATATTCGTCATTTCTTTTTTGCGCCTGTTGCCTTCCATAATGGTCAGAAACTATTTGTTCCTGGATTTCCTAATGATAATAAATCGACTAAGGTAACTTGGTAGTATTCTTTTAACATACGATGAGTCCCCCCTTATGATTGTTCCTACTATTCTGATGAATTTAGAAGTCATAGAGCGGCTAGGATTGAATTGACTGCCATGTGTTATCAGTCCGTAAAGCCACTTGTTTTGGCTATTATTTGAAGTCTTCTATGTATCAGATATTGTTTATCTTTTGTACTCTCCTAAAATCTCAATATCCTTTTCTTTTATGTCTGAACGTGTTTATTTTCTTCATTTTAATTTATGTTTCTGCTTTATCATTTTAAATAGTTGGTCGGCTTGAACTAGTACATGTTTGTACGCTTTTCGTAATTACTGTCTCTCTCCCTCTCTTTAGGATTGGTCAACTAATAATATGTAGTGCAGAATTGTATCAAATTGATAACCTTTTGTCTAATAACATCTTATTTGATTGATTTAAGTGTTTAATAACTACCTGTCAATCACATAGAAAGTTATATTTGACACCATTTTTTCTACAATGTCGATTGGTTATATCATTTATTTATTTTAACACATAGATATTGGTACAAGGAGGCACCAAATACATATGCGCCACATAAATATCATGTGATATGCGTGAGGGCTGTGATACTGCCCGGGTGCTCAAACCGAAGCAGGTATTGGTTATCAAGTTTTGATTGATTGTTTCGTCTATAGAAATAGCATCATCTATGGATGAAAAGATGGATTAGTGTATAGTATATGAGAAGTTTGTGAAATGAATTTGAAAATCTTTCAGTTTTGTAGTATATTTTACCTAGACCTTGAACTACATCACCGAAATAGTGAATCCAGTTGGTTTTTTTAAATAAATAAATAATACACTGTAAGTTAGTTAAACAGAATATCTAAAAGTAATCGTTCTAAGATGACTGTTTCACCATCTTTACAAAAAGATTATTTATTTTTATTATTTACAGTTAAATAAAAGAAAGAAATACATTGACAGGTACTTATTGATACCAATGTTTATTTATTATTATAACAAGGTACTTATACTATTAATAATCATAAGAATGAATTATTTCATGGAATTTTATTCTAGAATTATATTGATTGTATTTTGCTTTTGAATAAGATTTATAGCATGAAATAAATTCATTTGAATAGTTGAAATCATGAGTCAATCGAAGCTAGACCACTATGGAATACAT